CATAGCCTCCATCTTAGCTCCTCCACGAGGTTGAGCCTCGTTAAAGGAAACACCACCGCTAGATTGATTGATACAGACGGAGTAATAAATAAAAAGAAATTGCACAAAATGGGACTAAAACATGGACTAAATTTCAAAATGGGACATCAAGCTTTTTATTCCCAAAATAGGACTCTAGATTACATTTTTACCCTTCCTCTAATTAAACCCAATTTCTCCGCCTCTCTCTACTTTGTGCGTGCGATTTCTTCCGCCCAACTGCGATTTCTCCCATCGACACCGCTGCTCTCCAGATAGGAGCCGCTCTAGTTCCTCCACCGATGAAAAGTAATCTCCTCCTCCTCTATTTTTTTGTCTTCTCCTTCCCATCCTCTTCGAATCTGGGTTCTCTGTTTTCTTCTTCTTTAGATTTCAATTTTTTTATTATTTTTGATTAATTTAGAACCTCAAAATGCCATAAATTACAAGCAATTAGAAAAATGTCACTTTTATGACATTACATTTATCAAGATGACAATGTCATTTAAATGACATTGTTACTCAAAAAACTTACACTTTAAATATGTCATTTTTGTTTCAAAAATGTCATGAAAATGACATTATTACTCTTTGGAGATGTCATTTTCTTCTTTGAACTGTCACCTTAGCAAATGTAATGTCATAAAAGTGACATGGTTACAAATCAGTATTGGATTAAACATCAATTATGACATTTTTCAGATTCAAGTGATGAGAACAATAATATGAATCTTTTAAAATAAATTAATCAGATTAATAAAAAATGAAAAAACAAAAGAAGAAGAAAATAGAAAATTTGTAGAAGAAGAAAACATGGGAGCTTGAGAAGAATTTAGCAGAGGAGAAGAAGAAAAAGATGAAGAAGAAGAAACTTACCTGGGCAAGTAGTAGAGTCATCCATATGTCGCCAGCGACATTCACCGCACCCAGTGAACATTCATCGCAGAGTCATCCGTCTGCTGCACTAATCAATGCTATTTTAGTCCAAATACAAATAATTAATCCTATTTAGGGAATTTAAAACAATATGTCCTTTTTTTGCAATTGCACATTCTTTTAGTCTTATTTAGGGAATTCTCTCATAAATAAATTATGGGTTGATAGAAGGAAATGATTTAACGTTAGAAAGAAAATATTTTCACCAAGGTTAAGTTTGCAAAATTGATGAGTATGTTTAATACGAATTTGAATAAAGGGTTGTGTCTAGTAAAAACTAGGCTGTATTTGGAATTTATCAAATTTAGACCTTGTATATATCAAAGTTCTAAAAGGCGCTAGTAGGCTGCCAGCCCAGTGCCTAGGCGGCTAGGCGGGCGGCTAGCTAGGCGGGGACTAGTCAGTAAAATAAAAATTCATTTTTTATAAATATTTTTACATAAATATGATAAATAATATTGTGTTTGTGTATAAAAATATATACACATAGACATTAACATGCATGAATGACGGAATTGTCACATTTAATAATATATTATAACTACATACTCTAACTTCATTATGTATACATTTAAAAAACCTTCTTTATGTAATAAATAATAAATAATAATAACATTTAAGAACATATACAAACATGTACAATCTTTATCTTAATCTATAAGTAGTTTTCTTCATATGTATGGTTAAGTGTTCGGTGAATCTAGACATCCTAGGCGGCCGATTAAGCGCTCTGGACGAGCGACTAGGCACCCTAGGTGGTTGACTAATTCATCTAGACACCAAACCAATTAATCGGAGCACCCATTCTCACCACCGCCTAGCTAGCGCCTGGGCGGGGACTAGTCGGACAGCTAGAGCGATATTTAAAACATGATATGTATATATGTGGTAAATGTGGTGTTCTCACGTTCTCACGTTAAGCATTGTTCTCATTTGATCTTTATTCTATATTGTGGTAAATGTGAGAACGTGAGAACACCGCATTTACCCCATCGTGTTGCACAACGCAGCTTGTATATTGCACATTTTCACATTTTCACAATATTTACAAAAATGTCACCGTGTTTATTTAAATAGGCTTAATTCGAGCAAATTGAAAATGTGCAACAGAATAGCTCCATTGTGCACCACGTTGATTTAAATGTGAGTGTTTTCACGTTCTCATGTTAAGCATCGTTCTCACTGGAACCGCACCCTATATATATATATATATACATATATATATATATATACATATATATATATATATATACATATATATACATATATACATATATACATACATATACATATATACATATATATACATATATACATATATATACATATATATATATACATATATATACATACATATACATATATACATATATACATATATATATATATATATATATATATATATATATATATATATATATATATATATATCGAGAGCCAATTAAGGATGTTTTGAATTTGGTTGAACTTTTCTGGTCTGGTGCGGTCTGACACAATCTGTTTAAGTTTGATTTTGTCTAATAGATGTATGTTGAATCTATGTATATTTTAGAACAATTGAGGTCAGGTATATTTTGATCTAGTCTGATCTGATTTGTTTAACATTGATGTAGGAATGAAATTAGTCCAATTAAAAATGTCTCAAAGAAGAAATCTATCTAGGGGTCAGTTCGGTTCTTTCAGTTCGGTCCGGTTTTGAAGGGTAAAAACCGAAACTGAACCAAACAACTACGGTTCGAAATCTTACATTTGGTTTCGATTTTCTAGTGCTTCGGTATTATTTGATTGCGATTTGATTTAATTTGATTCGAACTTCAGTTTTCCCGACTCAGTCCTAAATCTATCCAATTACTACGTAAAATATATAGAAAAAAAGGATGACACCCCATCCCTGAGGGCCCCCCAACACCGATCGAACGGTGCGATGGGACTATGGGAGGATGTAAATTGGACTATAATCACAATCTGACAGATAGAGAGAGTGACTCTGTCCCCGATAATCACAGCCATAGTTTTTTTTGCGTAAAATATATAGATATCAAAATTAATAGATATCAAAATTAGAAGGGAAATTATCACTGATCCCCCTTGAGGTTTCATACATTATCATCTAGACCCCTACACTTTTAAAAATATACTCTTACCCCCCTCCATATCGTTTAATGAGAGTTTAATAACTCTCAATCACGTTTAGCAAAATTATAGATTTAATTGCGTAAATTTACTCACTTGCAGATTTGATCCGATAACACATAAATTTATCCACATTATGAATTTTTTCACCAGAATGTACACCTTATGACGAAAAATTGACGTCTTTTCTAGTATGTTTTTTTCTGGAATGTGTGCTTTTCGATGAAATAATCCTTAATATAGACATACTTGTATATACTAGTTATAGAACAACATTTATATGAGAGAAAATTATAAAACTAATAGCGGACACAATAAAAAAAATACGAGCATAGAACAACAAATCTCTATTACTTTTAAAAGTTCAAAAATATCCATGAGAGTGTAGAAATCTTGGTGGAATATACATCTCACGTCAGAGATTTTTTTCCCCAAATGAAAAAAGATTATTAGCTTCAGCAATTTTCTTAAAAGCATCCACTAATATATTATAAATATAATAAAAATATTTTTTAAATTTATGAACATTATTTAGAATTACATGTTTGCTAAACTTTTGAAATATTATTCTATACCTAAAACAGATGTTGGTGAATGATCACAAAGTCGAAATCATTCAAGCAAGTATTTCCCATAAAACTTTAATATGTAAAATATTGTCCTAAAAATCATTCATCAACATATGTTTTAAGTGTAAAATAATATTTTAAAAGTTTAGCTAAATTGTTATTATAAATAATGTTCATTCAAATTTTGAATTTTTTTTTATTATATCTAAAAATATATTAGTAGATGATTTTAAGAAGACTGCGGAAGCTATTTATCTTTTTACACGCGAGAAAAAAAATATGACGTGAAATGTATATTTCACCAAGATTTCTACAATCTCAGAGATATTTTTGAACTTTTAAAAACAATACAAAATTGTTATTTAAAATTCGTACTTTTCGATTGTGTCCGTTTTTAGTTCTATAAATTTACTCTCATGTAGATGTACTTGTGTAACTAATGAACATATCCTATATTAAGGATTATTTCGACGGAAAGTACAAATTCACACAAAAGGACATACTCGCAAAGACATGTCTCTTCATTCTTCATTCTTCACATGACTTTAACATTTCATGCATTTTATTCCTTTTAAGTGATTATTAATGATTTTTCTTTACACGGTTCTACGAGAAACGTTTAAATAATATTTTATCTTTTTATGTAATAATTGTGTTTCTTTAAATAATATTTCCATCATTTGCAATGGAACCAAAAATTCATTATTTTTTGACTTGAGATTATGATGGATTAAAGAAAAATGACTCACTAAATTGTCTGCGCTTCTTTGTTATGAAGCACCAGTCAGTCCATGCAATTTTGGACGGGATTTTCACTATGGGTCATCCGGAAACAGTCTCTCTGTGCTTTAGTACAGGGGTAAGATTGCGTACATCCGACCTCATCTTACCCCACCGTAGGTGGGAGCTTTTGCGGCACTGGGGTAAATGAAAATGATGATGATGTAATAATTGTGTTTTTACTTTTCATCAACACATTTGCTTTATTCATGTTAGACAAGAGCTTTTTCTTTGCTAGGGAAATGTTTCCATGAACCGTGTTTTGTGGACATTGCTATGTGAAGTTTCTTTCTAAACCCTTCAACGGCTGGATATGAAACTTTTGGTGTGTAATACACACTGTGTATAGGCTACTAGCCTACTAGAGGGCAATAGCCAATAGCCTACTAGCCTTTGCCGTTATCGGAGACTTTGCCATTTCACCAATGATTTTTAAATGTGAATAATGTTCACACATAAAATATAGATATATTTTGTCTTTGAAACTATTAGTAAGCAAAAATATGTCTGTTTTGTCTGTGAACGAGATTCACAAACAAAAACAATAACTCTTACAGAGTGGCTATAAGAAGGTGGATAGAAACATAATTTTTCTTCATGAAAACTAGAGATCGAAAGAAGATCAAACCAATTTGAATTCATACGATGATACAATTAAAAGGGTTTATCTAGAACAAATTATTAATCCATTTGTAGTAATACATCTACTAAAATCTCTATAGATCCTAGAAAAATGAGAAAATTTTACGTCCATACATTTCACATTAATTAATCGGAGCTAATTTGTGCAGTGGTGACTTGTACTTACAATTCCAAAGGTTGTACTTTACATTGGTTTGTACAAATGCATATCAGACAGGTTGAACCAAATTTGTTGAAACGCCTCAATGATGTGAGAATGATACTCCTCACAGTTCAAAGACAGATAACAAGCAAGAAGCTCTTCCAAATCCTTTGAATTCTTTATCTTATTCTCCACAATCATCTCTATCATCGATTCCCTGAAATCCTTCTCCGGATCAAACGATGCCTTAACGACCGGAAAACTCCCAGAAAAGCAATTCTTCGGTCGCTTTCCGGGCGCCGACGAGTTTTTCCGGCCACGGCTCTGGACTTGCCGGTTATTCATCCTTGGAGAATTCCCACGAAGCTTCACTCCTGTAGACTGGGAAATGGACTTTCTTGATCGAGTCTTGATGCAGAGCGACCCATTCTCTCTTCCGTCTAACCCACCAGCGTTTCTTGATTTTCCGGGGAGTTTAGTGAGAATCGGCGGCAGGTCTATTTCAGTCTGGGATTTTCCGTTTCCGTCATAAATTATACTGGCGGCGGGTGAGCTTACAGTGCTCGAGGATAATTTAGGGACATCAATGGTGTCGGAATCGAACTCCGACGTAGGAGAAGGCCTGTAAATGGTCTTCCGCCTTGATGATCTTCGCCGGAAAGACGTCCTCGGAGAATCAAGAAAACAGGGGTCAGCAGAAGGTTTTGTGATAATGGGCTCTCTTGAGTAGTAGTAGGATTGTCTGGGCTGTGAAATGTTTGGTTTGGTTGAGGAAATTGTTTGGTTAAGGTTTTGGTCATGGTGGTTCTTCTGCTGATTAGTGGGGTGGGAAGAGGATTGACTTCTGGTTCTCTTCAAATCCCTGAGCTTGAAAAACCAAGCATGGGGGATCATGTCTGAAAACCTGAACTTGTGATTGCCCATCCAATTGGGAAACTTTCACTTTTCACTTTCAGCAAAAGCTACAGGGTTTTGCCTTAGAATCATGGCAGAAGAAAGAAAGTTGGTTCAGTAGAATTAAAGCCTCAGGGTGCAAGATTTATACCTACCATAATGAGAAGGGGTCCCTGTTGCAAAATTTTCAACCCACACATAGAACAAATAAAAAAGTAGGATTCCCCACGGTCGGTAAACCAATGTTTAAAATGCGCATGATACTTCCTTGGTGATATCTTTTTTCAATTTTCATATTTCAGTTTTGGGATAATCCCTAACTTAGTGTTCATACGAGAGAATTGCACTTTAAGTTCCACAAATAGCATGCATATCTAAATGTAGGACCTGTGTTTTTAATTTTGTAAACGTTACCGATCAATGATCCAAATTGTGGTAAATGTGGTCCTTTGAGGTAGGGGTGAACATATTGGTTTTCGGTTTGGTTTTATTGCTTCGGTTCTGTTCGGTTTGGAACGAGTTGGATAATTATTATCAAACAAAAATCGTACTATTTTTCGGTTTGGTTCGGTTCGGTGTATTTCACTTTTATTTGGTTTGGAATTGTTATTTTTAATAATATATGAAGGTTTTATTGAATTTCTTTAGTTCAGTTCGATTTTGTTCGATTTTGATCGATTTTGTTCGATTTTGATCGATTTTGTTCGATTTTGATCGATTTTGTTCGATTTTGTTCGACTTTGTTCGATTTTTATCAGTTTCGATTCGATCTGGTTTAATAAGGTTTGAAAGAAATACTATCAAACTCAAACCAAATTACATATGGTCCGATTTCAGTTTGATTTGGTTTGGTTCTCTTCGGTTAAACCAAACCAATATGCCAACCCATACTTTGAGGGGTGACATTCATAATGAGGGTGAGGGCCATATTTACATGTATCCAGACAATTGAAGACGATTTTCTCTATTCATATTGAAATGTAAATTTCTGACAATTCAATTTTGTAAATGTCACTCATTAATTGTTTAAAATGTCACAAGTGTCTCCTTCACTTTATTAAATAAATCACACTGATACATGTCAAGATGACAAAGTGACAAAGGAGGTACTTGGAGAATCTAAAGGATGTTTGCCACCCAAAAAGGATACGTATTGGTGGAATGATGAGTTGAAACAAGTCATAAGGAACAAAAGAGATTGCTACAAAAAGTTGGGGACAAGTTGGAGTGATGAGAACATAGAAGCATACAAGCAGGCTAAAAGACAAGCAAAGAAAGCCGTAAAGGAAGCACGAGGGGAAGTGAACAAGGAGTTGTATGAAAAGTTGGACTCTAAGGAAGGAGAACTAGATATTTATAGACTTGCTCGTCTTCTTGATCGCAGGACTCAAGATATCACAAAATGCAAGTGTGTGAAGGATGTCAATCAAAGGATATCGATGGAGGATGGAGAGATAAAAGAGAGGTGGAGGTCATACTTTGATACACTATTCAACGGGAACAAAGCGCAAGATATAAGTGATTTGACCATACCAGATTGTATGGTAAATCGTGAATTTGTGAGAAGGGTCCAAACAACGAAAGTAAAGAAACTCTGAGGAAGGTGGGACAGAAGAAAGCAGTGGGTCCAGATGGCATACCAATCGAGGCCTGGAGAAGTTTGGGAGAGAGAGGCGTCGAGTGGTTAACAAGTTTGTTCAACATGATTTGGAGAAACAACAAGATACCAAGGAGTTGGGGGAAGAGTACTCTTATCCCCTTATTTAAGAATAAAGGTGATGTACAAGAATGTGCCAACTATCGAGGGATTAAGCTTATGAATCACACCATGAAACTTTGGGAGCGAGTGATTGAGCAAAGACTTACGAAGAACTGTGAAGATTTCAGAGAATCAATTCGGTTTTATGCTTGGTCGTTCGACAACTTAAGTCATTCACCTTCTTCGGCAACTTATGGAAAAGTATAGAGACGCTCACAAGGATCTGCATTTGGTGTTCATTGACTTAGAAAAGGCATATGATAGGGTACCTCAAGAAGTTCTTTGGTGGGCCTTAACTAGAAAAGGCATATCACACAAGTATATTAACATCATCATGGATATGTATGAGGATTGTACTACAAGTGTTCGTACTAGTGTAGGGAGGACTGAGGAGTTCCCTGTTATTATCGGAGTGAACCAAGGATCAGCTCTGAGCCCTTTCTTATTTGTCATAGTCATGGATGAACTTACGAAGTCAATTCAAGACGATATACCGTGGTGCATGATGTTTGCCGACGATATTGTATTGATTGATGAGACGCAATCAGGTCTTAAAGCAAAGCTGGAAGTATTGTGACAAACATTGGAGAACAAGGGTTTCGAGCTAAGTCGGAGCAAGACAGAGTACATGGAGTGCAAGTTTGGTGGAGGTAGAAGCAGTGGTAATAACGGAATTACTCTAGATGGTAAGGAGATACCGGTTAGCGATATGTTGCGTTACTTGGACTCCATAATTCAGAAGGACGGTGAGTTAGATGGAGATGAATCCCATAGAATCAGAACAGGGTGGATGAAATGGAAGAGTGCGTCAGGATTTCTATGCGATCGAGGTATGCTGACTAGATTGAAGGGTAAATTTTATAAGACAGCAATTAAGCCTGCATTACTGTATGGCGTAGAGTGTTGGCGGCGAAACAATGTCACATTGAAAAGATGAGTGTGGCAGAGATGTGCATGTTGCGGTGGATGTGTGGGCATACTAGGAAGGACCGAGTGATGAATGAGACAATCAGACAAAGGGTGGGAGTAGCGCCTATTGAAGACAAGATGCGTGAGTCGCGCCTACGATGGTTTGGTCATGTGTATAGAAGACCGAATGATGCATCTGTCAGAGGAGTTGAGATGTGTGGAGAAGAGGCAGGGAAGAGAGGGAGAGGAAGACCCAAACAAACGTGGGTTAGGGGAGTCCAAAGGGATATGCTTCTTCTTGGGTTGGATGAGGGTATGGCTTTAGAGAGAGCAAAGTGGAGGCATGTATTCGTGTGGAAGAGTGATCTCGTATCATCTTTTCCTCTCGTCGTTTTTTTCCTTGTTTTTTTATCCTTTTATCCTTATATATATAAACATTATTTTTATCCTTTTATTTTATCATTTTTATGTATACTCATTTCTTTATACATCTTCTTTTTTATAATAGCTTATCTTTTTTATATTTATTTTCTTTCATTTCCTTTTGTTTGTGATATTATGTATCGATTCATGTTAGCCGACCCCGATATCTTTTGGGACTAAGGCTGGGATGTTGTTGTTGTTAGATGACATTTACACATACAATATCTTAGACAAGTGATCGAGGAGTACCATTGAATTGCAAAATTGAAGAGATTGAAAACTCAATTTTTAAGTGAGTAATTGGTTAGGGATTAAAATGCAATTATCCTTTAACTTTTAAAAGTCACATAGAAATAATAATTCTATGTGATATTTCATGTGCTCAAAGCCTCAAACTTAGATAGCATAAACATGGGTACTTCTTAATGAATACTCCGGAGTATGTGTTAGTACACACTACAATCGATAATCTATTTCCGTGTGATTGTAGAGGCTATTATATCATTACAGAATGGTTACAATATAATTCAATACATTTTAGAAATAATGACATATTAATAGTGAAAACAAAGAGAATAAATTTCACTTTTGGTCTTACAAATTTGATGACAATTTCACATTTAGTCCGCGTCTTTCACTTTGTCCACTTTTGATACTTGACTATTATTTTTTGACCATTTGTGGTCCTTTTCCGGTGATTTTAATCTCCGGAAACATTGTCGGGAAGATCATATATGGACGAAAACACAATACTCATGTATCAAAAGTGGTCAAAGTGAAAGACATGAACTAAATGTGAAATTGACATCAAATTTGTCGGATTAAAAGTGGAATTTAAATGTAGCGTGTATATAGTAATGACCTTAGATACTCTTTTTGTGTTCAACTATCAACTTAAGTAATAACTTTAGTCATATTTTTATCAATAAATTTTATTTATTAATAAAAAGACATGTTTACATATGAATTGAACTTTAATCAGGGCCGTCTAATGAATTTGGAGGTCCTGTTTTCAAATGGAAAATTGAGGCCCCCTAAAATAACAAAATTACAAATTTGAACAATGAAATACATGTAGACTAGACAGTTCAATGAAATATAAATTTTATGATGTTTAAAGTGCACAAATTAAAGAATCTAAAAAATATATACCTTTTGAAATCTTGAATAATACATAACATCTATAAAAATAAACTTATAACTAATACTACATTCTAAAATTTTGGAGGCCCCATACATGAGTGGATCCCGGTGGCAAGCACCTATTGCACCTTCTAAAAGACGACCCTGACTTTAATAAATTAACACTAAAATTTGATGTTAATTTATAAAATATTCAATAATTTGTTCATATTTTTCACTTTCGTATATATTGATATCGATATATCTACCAATATTTCACTAAAAGTAAAGTACAAATGCACAATCTATAAGTATGTTTCACTATTGCCTAAAATCATTATGTATTGTCTATATCTTGACAAAAGGCATTGGCGGTATGAGCTCCTTGCTCCCATACATGTGCAGTATTCCGTATGTTACTTTATTTTATTCCCTTTTTTATTTGTATGTTAGTTGTTTTTATTTACCAGCTTTGTTTAGTACTATGTATATAATTATGTTATGTAATTATATTATGAATATTACAAAATTAAATTCAAAACATAAAAATGACTTATTTTAAAATTTTCAAAAAGTGACATATTTAGTGACTAGTTCATAGTGACTTGTCATCTACAGTGACTTGTCATTTTAAATTAGGTAGTACACTATAGTAACTAATTATATTTTTGTCCAAAATCACAAGTCATAACTAGTTGTATTTTTGTACGGAGAAAATCAATTAATAATATACATGTTATTTTTTCATTATATTATCATACAGTATCATTCAGTTTATGTACAGACTATACAGAACTCCTCACTTTATAATTGCTGAGTTAGGAAATCGAAGGTACATGTTTCAGTCAGTTTTATAACGAAGATGATATGCAAAGGGTCCTGGAGGAGGGACCTTGGATTTTTTAGCAAAACCTGATTGTACTGGTTAGGTTGCGGAAAGAAGATTTACCTCTAGAGGTACCCTTAAACAGGGTTGATTTCTGGTTGCAGATTCACGATGTTCGTGTTGGATATTTTTTTATGAAAAATGCAATTAAAATAGGTAACTTTGTGGGAAAATTCATTAAAGTGGATGAATATAATTTTTCAGTCAAGTGGAATCCGTTCATGAGGATAAGGGTTAGTATCGATCTGAACAAGCTCCTAAAACGGAAGCTATTTTTGCTATCAGATGAAGGGGGTAATTTTTGCGTCTGGTTTAAATATGAGAAACTCCCTAGTTTCTGTTTCGCTTGAGGTGTCATTGGGCATGCAGAAAGGTACTGCCCACGCTACCCCAATGTGGTGGGAAAGGAGGGAGAATTACCATTTGGACCACGAATAATTCAATACATTTTAGAAATAATGACATATTAATAGTAAAAACAAAGAGAATAAATTTCACTTTTAGTCTTACAAATTTGATGACAATTCCACATTTAGTCCACGTCTTTCACTTTGTCCACTTTTGATACTTGACTATTATTTTTTGACCATTTGTGGTCCTTTTCCGGTGACTTTAATCTCCAGAAACATTGTCGGGATGATCATATATGGACGAAAACACAATACTCATGTATCAAAAGTGGACAAAGTGAAAGACGTGAACTAAATGTAAAATTGACATTAAACTCGTCTGATTAAAAGTGGAATTCTCAAATGTAGCGCGTGTATATAGTAATGACCTTAGATACTTTTTTTGTGTTCAACTTTCAACTTAAGTAATAACTTTAGTCATATTTTTATCAATACATTTTATTTATTGATAAAAAGACATGTTTAAATATGAATTGAACTTTAATAAATTAACACTAAAATTTGATGTTAATTTATAAAATATTCAATAATTTGTTCTTATTTTTCACTTTCGTATATATCTACCAATATTTCAATAAAAGTAAAGTACAAATGTACAATCTATAAGTATGTTTCACTATTGCCTAAAACCATTATGTATTGTCTATGTATCTTTGACAAAAGGCATTGGCGGTATGAGCTCCTTGCTCCCCCCATACATGTGCAGTATTCCGTATGTTATTTTATTTTATTCCCTTTTTTATTTGTATGTTAGTTGTTATTATTTACCAGCTTTGTTTAGTACTATGTATATAATTACGTTATGTAATTATATTATGAATATTACAAAATTAAATTCAAAACATAAAAATGACTTATTTTAAAATTTTCAAAAAGTGACATATTTAGTGACTAGTTCATAGTGACTTGTCATCTACAGTGACTTGTCATTTTAAAATACGTAGTACACTATAGTAACTAGTTATATTTTTGGTCCGAAATCATAAGTCATAACAAGTCGTATTTTTGTCCGGAGAAAATCAATTTATAATATACATGTCATTTTTTCATTATATTATGATACAGTATCAATGTACAGACTATACAGAGCTCCTCACTTTACAATTACTAAATATAAAAGAGCTTCATGCCCAAATGCCCAATCCCTTCCGATATTAGATGCAAACACGAATGCCAAACTTTGGCGGACCTTTCTACTCTTGCTCATTCCCTTCCAATGTCGAATGCAAACGCCAATGCCGATTATTCACATGGTAAAATTATCAAAGTGATCCTCATTTCGCTGGACTAATCCAGAACTCCTAAAAGCTCACTCCAAAACCGTTGAAAGATGTAAATTCTAGTCGTTCAAATAATCCGATAAGTTTTCACTATCATCTATATACGCCACCACAGCACCACGCACAAGAAATCACTCGTACTGTTCCCGACAACAAACTTACTCACATATTGCCGCTTGAGCCGAAACGAATCATGTATTTAATACTTTAATTAGATTTTCTATATTTAGTAGGTTTCCTAATGTATTCGGGACACTTGTTTATTATATATATGACATCTTGGGCTAATACATTGGTAAGTCATTGCATTATTCTCACGTGATATTATATTAATTAAGAGCTTGGTTTTAGCTTGTATTAATTTTTTTTCCTGATCCATGACCTCTCCGAATGATACCGCCGCTGCCACCGTATCAAGCTCCACCACTGCGGTTACAATCCCGGTCAAAACGTGTCTCATTACTAGGAGTATTTATTTGAGTTAATGCCTCAAATAGGACTAATAGCAAAGTTAATTGCCCATTTAGGATTATAAACGAACCATATGTTTCATAGGACCATTTTCAGAGTAGTAGACTAAAATACCCCTCTTCTAATATTTTAAATTTTAAAAATGTAAAATTAAAAACTATTGAAACCCTAGCAGTGACACTGCCACCGCCAGAGCCAAACCGCCCGCCGCCGGATCCTGCCTCCGCCCTCACCGGAGACGACGCCGTATGTCGCCGCCCTCGCCGGTGAATGTGCCGCCCGTCGCCGCCCTCGCCGGTGAATGTGCCGCCCGTTGCCGCCCTCGCCGCCTGCTGCCGCATCCTTGACGGCCCATCATTTCCACTCATCGCCGCCCCCTGATCGCCGCCGCTTCCCACACTGGCGACACCGTCCATGGCATAACACAAGAGTTTCAGATCTGTCAAAGAGTTGGCAGATTCATGTTGAAATATTAACACAAAAATGCCATAAATTTGACAAAAAGTGAAAAAACATGAAATAAATAACCAAATATTCAAACAACTAAATTGATCGGCGTCGCCATCCACCACCACCGCCATCCTCTGAACACGACAACTCAGGCGGAATAAATTTGCCTTTATGTTGGCAGATTTAGAGTTGTGGATTAGATCTACATCTTCCATAACACAAGAGTTTCAGATCTGCCAAAAAGTTGGCAGATTCATGTTGAAATATTAACACAAAAATGCCATAAATTTGACAAAAAATGAAAAAACATGAAATAAATAACCAAATATTCAAACAACAATGTTTTTTAGTGGAATAATTTTCTTAGCACAATAGCAAATTAGAAAAACGAAGCTATTGACAAAAAAACACTTTATACAAAAGCATTTCTGCCATAATATGATGTTAATGGATACATTTCTGCCATACACTTGGCCAAATCCGAAACAATCATCCAAAATGTTGAAAATCTGAATTTGTTTTAAAACTCAGAAACTAGAAATCAAAAAATCAAAACAGAAGCCCGAAAATTGGAAAATTCAATTCAAAATCCAAAACAACAGAGGAAAATCGAAGAGGAAGAGGAAGAAGAAGAAAATTCAAAATCCAAAAAAACAGAGGAAAATCGAAGAGGAAGAGGAAGAGGAAGAAGAGGAAGAAGGAGAAGAGGAAGAAGGAGAAGAAGAACCTTAATGGCAGCGGCGAAATCGATGGCGTTAGAGGAAAGCGGTCGATCTTGTGCACAGGGCGAAGTCGACGGAGGCGGCGACGATGGCTTGGATGAAGCCGATGATGATGCGCAAGGAACCAAGAAAGAGAGAGAGGGATGTGCGCAGGAGAGAAGGGGAAGCGGTTGGGGAGATGTGCGTAAAGGGATAGAGGTTAATAATGGAATGAAATATAGGAATGTTTTAAAATAGGAGTAAATCGATCATATTTGGGGAAAAAAACATACATGGTCTTATTTGAGAATTTCTCTTCTTTTTTAGTCCTATATAGGACAATTACTTTATTTATTTACCCTACACAGGCGTGAATTTTAATTGATTTATAAGCGTATTACAATATTTTGTCATAGAAATATCACAATATTTGAGTGGTATTTTTATGTGCCAATATAAATAATATACTATTTGAGTGGTATTTTTATGTGCCAATAGAATAGTGTATTTTTGTCATAGAAGTATTTGTCAAGATCCCAAAACAATGATGCGATGCGATGCAATGCAATAGCGCCAACTTATCATACTTAAAGTTTACTAAAGACAACATTTGGTTCAATTAATTATTATCCTTCATTCCTAAAAGGATATACTATAGGTTATGAAATAATGGTGTCCGCTAAAAATCCACCCGCTAATGTTGCGTGGTTTATTGTGGTTATGTCAATTCTGATAGGGAATTTGTCCACCCTAGACGATCCAATATGGGATACACTCCCTATACTTTTTCCGGGCAATATAATAATCCAACTTCATGGAAATCTATGAAATAGCTAACCATATCTCCATCATCTAATCTGTTTTGAATTATAATTCTCATTATTTTTCATACTATAAAATGGTTAAGGTTTCATTTTTGAAGTAGGATTATGTCGAACACTACACGTAGTGCTCTAAATTTATTGGTACTTGTTTGGAATATAATACTACCGTGTTTAAAAAATAAAGTTTAATTCAAATTTACTACTTCATCTTTCAATTCAATTTTATTTAATAACATGAATTTACATGTCGAACTTTTATCATACTATAGTACCAAATGATCAAAGGGTTTGTGGGCCTTTGATCATCTAATGAAATCACACATTTTTTATGTATGGATTTTTACTCAAGACAATAGTTTCAACCGAATTAAGTTCATCCCACATATTAGAAAGGTTGTCATATCTTTGACCTCTCACTTTGAATAAACATTATTCATACTAAGCCAAAAAACTTATCATCACTTCTCAAAGAAGTGTAGTGACCATGTCAACATGTCCAATTGCAAGAAATCGTACCATCACAACTCCGTGACCGTTTACATTTCTCACTACAATTGTTATATGTTTAATCTTCGACAAAATTATCCCATATATCTAATACTACATCTGTCCCGTTAAAAGGTTCTCATGGCAAAACAACACGATTATTTGGATAGTAATTAAATAAGATAGTTCGAGTGTATTTAAGAAACAATTTTAATAGGTATATAATATAACGAGTTTAGTGTTGATAACTGTGATGTTACATATGCATATTTTTTTAATATTTAATGATTAATTTGTAATTTAGCATTGTTAATTGTTTCCTAAAATAGAAATGAGACCTTTATATGAGACATCCACAAAAGAAAAGTGGGAACCTTTCTACGGGACGATGAGTTTTATTATAAGTACTAATACTAAATTTCGAGTTAATAGTGGGATACTTCCCTAACCAAGCCCTCTAGGTCCTCCACTCAATGGTGCTAATCCTATATTTTTTTCGTCCCGAATTGAATTGTAATTTAAGATTTTTAAGATTGACCGACGATAAAGGTATATAAATCATTCATATAAATAGTTAAATCAATTTTAAAAATTAAAATTTACAACTGATGGATAGTGTACCCGGGGGTAGTTTATCCGAGGGGTTATTACGGGAAGTAATAAGAGAGAAGTCAGAGCAAGTAAATATAGAGAGAGAAAGTATATTATGAAGTGTGGAGAGTTTTCAGCGTTTTTTGACCTGGTTACAAATGGGGAAAAGGGGTGCTATTTATAGTAGCAATAAATGCCGGACATTGGCCGAGAGGTCACCTCAACTGGTTGACGCTGGCAGCCGCATGTGGCCGCATTTAATGCGGCTGTTGGATGGGACGTTGTACAGGGTACGGTGATCTGTACGCATGTGGCGCGGATATTATGTCGGGAGAGGTGCCCTTCGGCTGCAGAGGACTAGCCGGGGGCTCTGAGTGCCGGGGACCCCTGGGTGCCGAGGGCTCCAGGTGCCGAGGGCTACTGTTTCCTGCCGTTTTTCTCCCAGTTTCTTAGTTTGCTTGAGAAACCCGTTCTGTGAGAGTTTAGAGCCTTCGGCCAGGGGGCCGAAGGCACCCCTGGTGCGCATTGTGGGCTGCTTGGTACTCCGGGCGCCGTGATTTGGGCCTGTTGGGCCTTTACTTGAGTAGTAGGAGTCTGTGGGCCGGGTGTTCCCGGGCCATATACTCCATCAGGAGTCCCTCACTCCTTTTGCCAAAAGGTACTTGAGGGAAAAGGAGTAATTTGTGTTTGTCCCCTGCCGTTGTTCCGTTGTAATCTCTGAGTTTGGTGAGGAGTTGTTTCTTGCATGTCCCTGCCGAAGGCAGTCCCTCAGTTACCCACATGTCGGGACTTGAGGGACTCCCATCACCGCATGTTGGAATTTTTCACCTTTTTTGTATTTTATTGATTTTCCCGAAGGGGTTCTCCAGTCCCCCACTCCTTGAGGCACTTGTAAAGTGGCGAAAAGGAGTAGAGTTTAGTCCGTTGTAGCACGGGGCCGAAGGCTGACGCTTTTCGTTTCATTTTGGGGGGATGCCTCGTTAAAAACCTCATTAGGAAAAACCTTGTGGGAAAAAATCCTAATGAGGGAAAAGAGTGCACCTAATTCCCCCAACGATGAATCGAAAATGTGAAACCTTGGTTCAAAATGGAGAATAACGGTAATGCCGAAGGCTCTCCTTGTTCTGAGGGCTCATGTGTTGATTAGCCGAAGGCTTGCTGTTGATGTCCTGGGAGATGCCGAGGGGGAGCCCCTCAATATGGGGATCGAGGGCGTGGTGGATGAGGGCAGTAGTTTAATTGTTACCGGGGTGTCCCCTGCTCGTTGATTAGTTGGTGATGAGGATATCCGAGGGCTCCCATTACCTGTGTGCCGTAGGCTATCCGTCAATGAGGCATACTCCCCGGGGGCTACCCGGCCCTTACAGTGCTGAGGGGGAATCCCCGAGGGGTGGCCTGATATGGAGCATTGGGCTTCTGAAGGAGTGATCCCGAAGGCGACTGTTATGTACTGTGTGGGGCACAACCCGGGGGCGTCTCTGGGTAAGTGTACCCGGAGGCTCTCCTTGATGAAGTGGAGTGAAGTAAGAAAATCCGGGGGCTCCCAGAATATAGCCGTTGGAAATATAGCCGTTGGAATATATAACGTCAGGATATAGCCGTTGGGGGGGTACACGTGGCGCGTGATGGTTGGCTGTCCGTGGGCGGCGTCACCGGTTGGGCGAAGACACGGCGTGTAATGATGACAGTCCATCTGGAGGCCCGGTTTCCAGGCCCAAGCCCGGATTCCAGCGCCTATAAATACCCATGGCCGGGCTTCCTTCCCCTTGTGCGAAATTCTTATAGCGAAGCTCTGCCAAATTTTCTAGAGAGAGAAACAGCAGCCCTCGATCAGATTCTAAGGTCAGTTCTCCATTCGCACTTCACCTCTTAGCTAGCTGTATTTGTGGCCTTAGATTAGGTAGGTAGCTTAGAGTACTTAGCGTCCCCGAACCGTCGACCTAGTACAGCAATGTCTTCACAGAGTGATTCTCAAGACATCTCGGGGGCGCCCTCGATGGAGGATGAAGTCCTCTCGGATGTGGAGTCCTCAAACGAACAGTCCTCGGCCCAGGAGGACGTTGCGATGGCAGTAGAAGTGCAGAAGGAGCTGTTGGCTGAAGTTGAAGCCGAGGGCTTCGAGCAGGAAGTGGAAGACGAAGAGCTGGCCCTCGCCATGCAGGTTGCAGAGGAGGAGGAAGCAAAGGAGAGGACGAGGGTGACCGTGGCTGTCCTTCCCCCTCGGGGTGCTGGTGAGGCCAGCACCTCTTGGCCGCTGAACGTGGTTCCCATCCGGGTGGCCCCCGGAAAGAAGAAGGCCAAGGTAGCTGCTCCCAAGAATAAGGGCAGCGTTGCAGATCAAGGGAAGCCCCTCGATATGCCCGAGGGGTACTCCTACCTGAACACCGCCGCCTTGGAAATAAGGTCGAAGGTTGATGCGGCGGACATCTACGTCACTCAGCTTCACGTTGGCCCCTCGGCCATCGTGGTGACACCGGGTCCAGATGACGTCCTCTCCCGGGCTCCCGAGGGCTGTATAGCGGTGCATGTTCTCTCGGTGTCCATGGGGCTCCGCTTCCCCCTGCACCCTTTCCTCCGGGAGTACCTCCGGTTCGTGGGTCTGGTCCCTTGCCAGCTGACCCCGAACAGCCATTCTTACATTACTGGCTTCCTCCAGCTCTGCAAGTCCCGGGGGTGACGCCTAGCCTGGACCTCTTCTTCCAGAGCTTCAATCTGTATCGGGGGGCATGCGAATGCCGAGGGCTTCGCAAACTTGCAGCAGGTGGCAATGTTCAAGCTCTTCACTGAGGCGCCCTCCTCGAACAAAGGGTGGAAGGACTGGTGGTGCTACGTGAAGCTGACCGAGAGCCCCTTCCCAAGGGAGTTGCGTGACCGTTTCAGGAGGCACGAGAAGAGGAGGAGCGCCGCCCTCGAGAAAGATGGCAGGATTCTGGCCATGATCCCGGAGGGCCGGGACAAGAATATTACCATTAAGGAGTGCACCAAAGAGGGAGATCTCTACACCCTTGGGTTCCGGCGGTATCGCTTCCTGGGGGAAACAGATGAGAAGTTCCCGGTGTTTGAGGGAGCCTCCGGAGGTAGTGGCTGAGGGCACTCTCACCTTCATATCTTAGCACATAGTTCATTTGATTGTTCGTTTTATTCTTTATGCCCTTTGTTAGTGACCCCTCGATTCTAACCCCACATTGTTTTTGCAGGTATCCCAGTGAATATGATGAACGTCAAAGGCCTTGCCCGATTCAAGAACAAGCCGGCCAAGGATCCGAAGGGGTCGGACGCGGGTGGCCAAAAGCCCGTT